AGTTCAATTTCCTGTGCAACACAGGCTCTAATCATTCATCAAACAGGGCAGCTCCTTTCAAAGGACATCCAGTGTTGACTTAAAGACTTGACATAATGAAAAATCTATTCCATCTCTGATATCTTGCTCTACTGGTCATAAATATGCACATCAATCAGTCTCAGTTGTTCTATTTTTGAACTACCAGCTGTTGGACCAAAGCCAAAAGCTCTTAAACCAAAACAAACCACCAAGCAGGGAAGGGGCTGGAGTGGCTATCTTATGTACAGATCCTAGGAATATCCAGTCATATCAATATATGAGAATTTTAAAAGATGTCAGACCTTTCTGTTTCTTCACATAAACTTATCTCTCATTACTGGGATTTAGGTGGAACTGTTACCTACCGTTGGAAGGGTTTCTGGCACCTTCCTATGAAGTATTTGGCACTGGAACACATTACCCAGAGAGGCTGTGGAGTCACCCACCTTGGAAATGTTCAAAAGCCATTCGGACGTGATCCTGGGCAACCAGCAGTAGGTGGCCCTGCTTGAGCAGGGGGGTTGGATAAGATGACCTCCAGAGGTCCAGCCCAACTTCAACCTGGTCACTATTAGTAAGAACACTGATCCACACCAGCCTCCTAATTCCTGTTGCCACTGCATGTGGGAGAAGGAGGGTGATTATGGAAGATTTAACCACGTTCTCATCAAATACTTAAGCTAGTTTGTGATGGGTTAAGAATGCACACGTACTCTGCCTGCTTGTGTCGAGGCTGAGGAGCTTTTTGCCCAGTGGCTTGATTCAGCCCTAACTAGTTAGAAGCTGTGTAGTATGGTAAGGCTGTGGGCACAGTCTCTGACAGTGAGTAACTACCCAGCCAACAAGCCGATTTGTAACACATGTTGGTTGGTCCCATTGGCATCTTCTAGGGCCAAGTTCAGTGGCGTTCAAAAGGAGGTGGACTCACCTAAAGCCCACTGACTCTGAGGTGACCCTCAAAGACTGGGTGACTGCAGATCAATACACATGTTAAGGCTAAGAATGGTAAGGCAACCACAAGCCACGACACAACTCTCTCAACGTATAATTGCATACTAATCACAGGATATATATCTGCTGCTGGACTGATCTCCTCACACTAGAGAGACTGTAAGCTATTTGGTTGTGGGGTTTTTTGTAAATTTTCTGGATGATGATTAAAGATGAGAAAATTCCTAATAAAATTCCCTCAATAAATTGTTTTGTTTAAATTGAAATTGCCATAAATTCTGCTTTGCCCTCAACATATTTCTACTTTAAATGGCTTGTGCAGAGATTTCCCCTGAAGAGTTTTAAAATACCTTATCAAAACCACTCTAGTGCTTGATGGAGTACACCAATGGGACTTAGGTTCACTGAGCTGGCAGCAACAGTAAGTCCAGGTTACAGGTACGTATCATGCAATGCTTATCAGAACAAGATACAATTTCAAAAATCAAATCTCTGTTTCCCCTCCTTGATTTGGAGGAATTCTGCTTCTCTGACAATTAGAACCTCTTTCTAATTTCAAGCCTAACATTTATTCAGTCACTTTCCCCCCATTTGTTCTTGTGCTGGATAGGGTTCAGAGTATGACACAAAAATTTCCACAAATTATTTGTTCTTCTCCTCCTAAGAATATCCCTTGGATGCTCAAGGTTTAGAACTCAGTACACGGAAAAGATGAGAGTCTCTTAGAACAACAGAATTGCAGAGCTCAGGTACGAGGTGCTGAGGACACAAGGCATATTGAACAAAAAAAAACAGTCTTGCCTGAGAGGGCAGAGGAACAGGCAGAAACCTTAGTGTTTCAGAAAAAATGCCAATTCCCTTCGGTCAACAATTCAATAGCAATTCCTCTGTCATCTTAAAACCTGAAAGCAGGGATTTACAAAACCATGGAGAGGGACACTGGTCGTATTCAGATGCTACTACTATTTTTTAACCTAAAAATTGAGAACTTAGGAGTAGATTATTTAGTTTGAGGAACTACAACTACACACAGGTCTGGTAAACTCAAATGTCCCACACCAGTTCACTGTGAAAGAGTGATGGTCTTGGACAACAGTCTCTGGTTTGGGTGAGACCAAACTATTGCCCGTGGTGCCAGGGCTTGGAGCAGGAGCCTTGCTTGTGTGATGGGTGACTAGATGCCCTTCTTTCAGCCAGGTGTCCCCTGATTCAAGCCTTGGGATGAAAATAATTTCAGTCTTAAAATTATGTTTATGTCCACAACTGACTAGTTATCTCAGGCTTAGACAATGGAGAGAAATAGGCACTTTTTTAGGGCATGTTTTATCCACATTCTTTGAAAGATCTACTTCTGTATGAGAAGAACCATGCCCCGAACTCCACTGCCTACACTGACTAAATCTCCCCACTACAAAGGGAGCCCAGAGTGACTAGCTTACATACAAATAAATATAATGTAATTCTCTATACTTAACCAAATAAATCCCATTCCCGAAGCCCACCATGGCCCTAGCTATCCAGATTTTCAGTAATGCATTCTTCTTTAACAACATCTACTCATCTGGAGTTGAGCCATACGGTTTCTGTTTCCTTCAGGCCATGGAGCCTGCTCTATCTGTACCTCTAGCCACACTGCAAACAGCCCTGTCTGCCAGACTCCCTCCTAAAAAGTCCCTTCTGCAATTCTGAGCACGTGAGCAGGTGGGTCTTCCATAAAGTCAGTGCAAACACTCTTATGACGAGTAGCATGCAGCAAATGATGCGCTGCACAGGAGGAATTCTGAGATTCTTGTGACAGATGTAGTCCAAGACTGTAAGACTGACAGAAGAAGAGGAGAGAACACACTAGCATTCAACAGGCAGACAAAAGACAAGGCAGGATCTACACTGGAAAAGCTGGCAGCTGAGAGGGGTCGCTGATGGTGGTAAAGTGAGCTGGCAGGTGGTGAAGGCTGTTTCCCCTCCTTTAACCAACCTCACAGCCCCAAGGTCTCCTTGCTTTCTGGGCATGTTTCAACAGTGCAGCTGTTGACAGAAGATCCAAGGATCAATACGGCCAGCGTATTTTATGCCCTGTCCTCAATCAAAAGTGTTTGAAACATTTCCCCCTTAAAATTTCTCCAGAATAATTAGTCTTAAGACAGAAAAAAACAATCTAAGCAACACCAGACCATAAACCTGTGGTTCCCAAAGACTGTTTCTAGCTACAACTCGATCACTGTGACCAATATAACTGCAATTAAAACTGCTAATTTGGAGCAGTCCTGCATATTCCCTACATATTATCCCATACCTCAGACAAATAATTTTTCTTCTCAGGATTACAATCCCAGTTTGGGAACCACCATTTTAAGGCAAATATTTCAAAATTACAAGAGCTTTGATAAGAGATGTAAACGCAGAGATAACTTTCATTGCAGTTATCAATACTCCAATTATAATAAAATTAAAATACCTAACATCAGAACAATGCAAATTTATCTAGGCTTAGCTCTATTGTGACAGGTCTTGAATTTCACAGCTGCTACATGCAAAGTCTAGACACGAATTTGAAAGACATCTGTTTGATCATTCTTTAGATGTTAACTAGCTGAGTAACTGCTATTTAAAATGTGTTTGCTGAGCCCTAGATGGAAACAGAATTTTCTGTCTACAGTTTCTGTAGAGTGTTGTGTCTCCTATACTCCTCCCCATTACGGGCCCTGAGTATCAAAACTGTACAGCTTAGAGCAGGAACCTCACATACTGGTCAATTCCCTAGTTAAAGAGTTTGCCACACAATAAACATCTTCCTACAGATTTATGAATGTGAGTCTAAGTATTCAATAACTTTTAAACATAGCTGGTTTAAAACAGTGGTGTTCTACCCACATTAAGAAGCTAAGGCAAATTATTCCTTCTGAGAGTCCAGTCTACTATATACAACACTTTCTGACTACAAAGTTGTGATTTAAACCATCCACACTTCAGTTTCCTATCTATAAAATAGGTATGTTAACGGAACTTAATTTTTTCAATTTTTTTTTTTCTGTTTCATATATATCAATTGGAAAAACACCAGAGGTCAAAGCCTTCCATATCTTATCAGATACCTGTACAATGACAAACAGAACAGAATCTTAATCTTAGTTGGGTTGATACCCATTACTGTAGTACAGACAAGAATGACAGCTTTATTTCACAGTAGACATACAGCCACAAAACTCTTCGTACTACAGGTTTGACTATATGAATGAGTATAAGCATTCAATACAGTCACAAGAACTTAAGTAAGACTTGAAAAGAAATTCTTCACAATGAGAGTGGCCAAACATTGGAACAGACTGCCTGAAGAGGCTGTGAAATCTCCATCCTCAGAGATTTTCAAAACTCAACAAAGCCTTGACAACCCTGTTCCGAGCAGGAGGCTGAACTAGATGACTTCCACGGTTTCCTCCTACCTAAACTTTTCCATGATTCAGTTGAATTGGCTCAGAAAACTTAGGAAAAGACCATTTCAGTAGGTTATTATGAACAATGAAGTGCTGGACCTGATCTAATAGAAATCACCGTCCATTCTTCTCTTACACAAATCATCCTTTTACAGACTATGTAAATGTGTACATTTTTGCAGGATCTTTAACAATTTTGCTGTAAGTAATTCTTCCCATTATATGTTCTGTTATTCCACAGTTTAGTTTTCAACTGAGTTCTAACAGGAAATGTAATACATCTCTTGAGCATGCCCCTTTAATCTCTTAGTTTCTTCCTTTTAATCATTCTAATACAAAGTTCCAAAACCAGTGTTTATATATCCAGAAGCTGTTATTCCCCTTATTAAAGGCTTTCAGAAGCTAGAGCTGGTAACATCCACAGAATTTTCTCCACCACTTTTCCATGCATGCTGCTCCCCAGCTGCTTAATTCTTAGGAGCTTTGTCTGACTCATTTCAAAATATCTCTGTTAACAGGACTCTTACTGGAAAGATCATTTAATACAAGGATTATTTTTTCCCCCCTAACTCAATCTACAGATTTTTCATGACATACCTTCATTGGCCTCTTCAGCGCTTCCTGAATATCCACACGTTTCCGCATAATGGTCTGGTCCAGTTTGCGTTCAAAGGCCAACAGATCCATGTAGGCTTGGGACTCAGGAACCAGCTCCCGGATCTGAGAAGGAAGCAAGGAATATCCAAGCACTGGAAGCAATAATCTATTATGTTCCAGAGCAGTAATACTGATACTTTCCCAGCCCTTAGACAGAGGTGCTCAGGAGGAGTTATCCCTAAATCAGCAGTTCCCAATTAGCAGGGCAGGTCTCAGGGGCATGGTACAAGCATATGACTGAAAAGCTGGAGCACAGAACCAAAGCTGATGAACTCTTGAGGACCCCAGCTGGATCCACAAGATTTGAATCATGGTTGCTTTTTTTTAAGTGAGGCTTAGCTACAAACAGCCTGAGAGCCACTGCTCTCGGCAATGCAAAGTATGGCAAATTTGTCCAGTTTAAAATAAAAAGTCCTTCAGAGTAAAAATAAAGGGTGCATGTTCATGTTGGTTTAATGTTGATTAAAAAAAAAAAAAAATTGTTACCCATTGTAAGTAAAAACTGACATTTAGGAAGTCAACCTTTATCAACACACCTTCTTGGCTGAGGTGAAAGTGACCTTCACATCAAAGTTTCAACATATCCTATGAGGTGGTAACTTACGATCTTGTCAACTTTTATAGGTATTTTAATACATTAGCTAAACTACATTAGTTATATTAACAAAACCCCTTTTTATTTTCTCTTTTCCAGAGAAGTTAGCAGAGGAGGTGATATGAAGTAGGTTAGGAGGAACATCTAACGATCTGAGCTTAGAAATGGCAACTATATCCTTACATGACAAAGTCAGTTCTTAATTGGGAATAACTCACACAGGCAAACCAGAAAAGAAAGGAATTGTAAGTAATTACCGTAAATCTACTGGACTGCCTTGTCTATTTCTACAAAATTCACTCTAGCTTTCACCTGCATAACTAAAATATTTAACTGGTAGAATACTTCTGCTCTGTAGGAATTAAAAGCTAGTTGGTATTCCTGTTTTGCTTTAGAATCAGAAGTCTACAGTTTCATTTAGTGTAAGACACAAACACCTGTTCACCATGTTCATGTTCTGCAAGGACATAAGACCTATTGCACAAGGTCATCCCAACAGTCTGTCTAGCCTAGTACTGTGTCTCTGACAGCATTTGAAAGTTGTTGCCCTTTAGTACCTACAACAGCCTGGGGCATGGTGTTCCAGAACCTCAAGGGGCAGGAAGAAGTACCCTCCTCTGGCTTATTTTGAATCTGCCACCTCTTAGCTTCATTTGATGCCACCTTCCTGCATAGCTGGAACAGCAGTGGGCATGCAACTCCTCCATACTGCTCATACATTTTACAGTTTTTTGTCATCTCTTTCTTAATATTTTTCTTATCCAGTTGTAAGAGGAACAATTCCTCCCTTTTATATTTATACCAATCTAGACTATCAAATAAATGTCTTTTGCTACCTCATTTATTTGTTTGTTTGTTTTGAGATGCTAGAATACCTGCTCTGTTTACAGCAGGACTGACACTTTGGAGAAGCAGAAACCATGGAGCCAAAAAGTCTGTTCAGCCTTAGCTGAACCACTGTATTTTTAACTGCTCTTAGTCTTTCACAAAGTCTGAGTATCAACAGAATAATAAAAGAACGTGAACATTTCTAAGAGTTAAGCATGAAGAGGAAGCTTTGCCCTGGAAACATCAAAGAGTTGCCAGACAGCTTGCAGAATAAAGACAGCTAGGCAATACTTCCTCCTCACAGTGAAGACAAATCTTTGGACCCAACAAAATACCCCAATGCTTTTATCCTGTCCCACACAGAAGAAAAGATTCAGTTCCTTGCACACAGAGGAACTTAATCATGCTGTACTGTAGTCAATTAAAAATTCCAGACCCAGAACATAGTTTCAGTTCCAGCAGAGTCAGTTCATGAATTCCCAGCCACATGATGAAGCAGGGAGCTGGCCTACACAGCCCTCAAGATAAAGCATATACTACACCTGTGATACAACTTTTCCAGCTGGTTTGCAGGGTACTGGAGCCAGGATCTAATGAAATTTCTAGTAAGTTTTGTAAAAACAGCAGCAATCTTCAATTGAAGTATTTCTATTCCACACTTTTATATCTCTCACCACATGAAAGTTAAAAGGTATTTCCCATTCCATCCCTATAACCAAACTGTTAAACATTCTAAGATGCTAAGAAAGAATAAACACTTTTAAATCAGCCAACAAAGATAATACTGCATATAATTCCTTGAACTGCAAATGGCTGCAGGTTGGGAGAGTATTTGGGAGAATTGTACTTGCCTGTGTTTGTACTCTTCTCTAGGTGTGTGTTATGGTCACAGTGAAGATGGGATACTGGGGTAGATCCAAGGTCCACTCAGGCCAGTTTTGGCTGCTCTTACAATCTTTTGTTTTCTCATCCTACTAATGGAATAATCTTTTGGAGGCATCATAATGTTCCAATTTCATCCTCTTTCCCAATTTTCCCCCAAGAGCGAGAGGAAAATTAAAGGGGAGCCCCAGCAGTGTCACATTGTAATAAAGAACTTTCTTTGTTTCTGGTACGTCTCTGCTCAAAAAGATAAAGGCACTCTTACACTCCAGCCAGTAGTACATGAACCCCAGTTATCTTGGTGTTTATGCAACAAGGATCTGTGCAGCTTCCCTAACTCCTTCTTCTTCCATAGTTTGCCCTAACTGAAAAGTTCATAGCTCCGTGCAAGTCTCCTCTCTTCTATGAAAGTTCTAACTAAATGTGTAGAGCATTTGAAGACCTGAATTCTCCATTCAGGCCTTTAGCTATTTCAAGAAGCTACAAAAAGCACATAGCAGCAGCATCTCATAATCTGAGGTTCTGAAGCATGTATGTTAAACCTTATCTTAGAATTATATGAATAACTGGGATAGATTATTATTAACATTAGTAAGATAGTGTCTTTCTAGAGGCTAGGGTCCTTTTTTTCCCCTATTGTGAAAATTAAAATGTTTCAAAATTTTAAAAATTAGTAAGAACAAATTGATATTATATTATGCACTTTTATCCTTGATTTCCACGGATTTTTTTATCAATGGTGACAAAAGAATGGAAAAATCGTAAGAGTGGGGGCAGTGAGGACAGTGTGCAGGGAACAGTATGATGGGAGGGGCCTCACAATTTCCTTGTAAAAGCAGCACAATGCGGGGGCCCCACGACAGGTGCCTGCAAACAAATATGCAAGGCTTGTGAAACAGGCAGAATCAGAAACCAGAGAACAGCTGCAACACTACAGCCTCTGGGATATGAAAAACATCACAAAAAAGCTGCTATGACTGGCACAGTACAACAGCTTGGAAGGCAACGGCAACAGGCTGCACGCTAGGGAAAGCTACTCCCAAATGCCGAGTTGCACCGGAACAGATGATAATGCGAGGGGCATTTCCTGCAAACCTGATCAAGAAGGAGACAAAGCCTTTCTTAAACATCTGGAGGAAGCCCCACAGTTGCAGGCCCTCTTACTCATGGGGGAACTTGAACCACCCTGACACCTGCTTTGAGGGCAGGAGTGCTGGGCACAAGCATTACAGGAGATTCCTGGATTGGATTGATGACAATTTCTTGACGCAGCTGATCAACAAGCCAACAAGTGGAGGTGCTCTGCTGGACCTGTTACTTGTTCTGAAGTGAACCAGTACAACAGGAAACAACTGCTCTGACTGTACAATAATTTTGTCATCTACCAGATGATTTGAGAAAAGGATGGTCACTATCTATGAAGCAGAAGTAAAATTACTAAGGAAAGAGGTGAATGGTTGTTGTTCTGGAGAAACAGAAACCTTGAGTAACACTGCTAGTAGGAGATGGAAACAGAAGTACCATAATGCCTGTGCCTCTGCTCAGTTCAGTGCAAAAGTAATAGGTTGCAATTGTCTGGCCTGTACTACACAGGACATGCACCAGCTCCTCCTGGTCTTAATCAATATTACATAAGAAAGTATGAGAGGCAGAACTAAGAAAAACTGTTGTTTGTGCTCTGTCAACTTCATCTACTTCAAGCATCTAAATCACTGCTTTCTAAGACAGACTCTTGTACTGTCAGATTCCTCGGTTAAAGACGTACTGCACTTATTTGCAGAAAAGCTAATTTTGCTGTGTTATGATCACTTTATTGGGCAATTCAGATAATACTCTGTAGCAATAACTGTCCTTCTCCCTGTGCTTATTTACTGTTGTATTAATCTTACCCATAAATTTCACCATCAAATTATACATATTATGTATGACATAGGAAAAAACAAAAGCTACACTGCACTGGGCCAAGAACTGATCTTTCTGGTCCCACTAGAAATAACCAGCTCAACTGACATGTCTCCAAATTGACAGTGAGGAACTTCTAAGGTAATCAATTAGTTTACTTACACTATAAGATTTTTAATTGAGATGTCATTTATAACAGACCAAATGGCTTGAAGAAATCCAACAGTATCAACACAGTTTCTGTTATCAAAAAATACTGTGATCTCCTCAGAAAAAGGCAGGCTTGTTGAACAAGATTTAATTTTTACAAAGCTGCATATAGCTCTATGAAGCACCAAAGTGCTCAGATGTCTTCACTCAGGTAGAGGCACAGAGATCTCCTCAAATAATGTAAAACTTAACAGAGAGATCAAGAGAAACTCAGGCAGGGAACAAAAAGATGCTTCTTCACCTAGAGAGCAGGGAAACATTTCAGAGGGGAAGAGGGATTCCCCAACTCTGAATTTGTATTTTGCTGTCTGCCTGTCAGCAAGAAAAGGAAGGACTGTGAGTGAACCCTAACTAGACTTGGTGGCTGCCAAGCAGAAAGAACATAAGAAAAATAGTTTAAACAATGGAAGTGCATTCTCCCCTCCTTCTCTGCACCTGCAGCACAGAGTAATCTAATCCAGCAATCCTTAGCACAGAGGCTGAATTCCCCGTCTTCACTTCCTAACCCTCAAAAAATCATGTTCTAATTCAAAAACTTTCTCCCTCTCTTTTTACTTTGACGTCCCATTAACTCCTAGTCCTATCCCTCACTTAACCCCAGCTCCATTATCATAGAATCATAGAATTGTTAGGGTTGGAAGGGACC